TAAAAAATTCTATGTACATTTTGAAATATAGTGGCCCAGATATTCTTTCAAATTTTTGAAAATTTGACTCGCAGATGTTTGAGTAATCGAGGTTCTTTTGTATTGTCTAACAATTAGGATATTTTAAGAATAATTCCTTGACTTTTAAATTTTTACAAAATTATGCATCACAGATGACTAAATAAAATCAAATATTGATTGTTTGTACATTGTTTATGTACAATAACTGTTTTCTTTCTAATATACTGTATTTATATTTAGGCATGTTGTGTTTGGATGTTTAATGTATTGGAGGAATGTAACACATTAACTTCAGTAAACCAAAAACTTGCTCGTATTCAAACTACTTATGTTGCACTTCTAGCAGAAAAGAATAGTATGTATGATTATTATTATGAAAAAATCATAATAAACAATTTTATCTTCAGTTTTTTATTGATTTTATTTTATATTTTTAATATGTTGTGCCATACGTTGTTTTTTTTTCTAGACTACATCCGAGATATTGCTTCTAAAGCTTTGATAAATGTATACAAATATGAAGCTGATGATCGTAAAGAACCTATTTTAAAATTGCTTATAAAACAATTATCAGAATATATGGCAATTGGAAATAGTGGCAAAGATAGTTCTGGGTAAGGCGAATTTAAAGAGTTTTATTCTAATTTTATGCTAGTTATTTTTTAAATTATATAAATATTTAACTACATTTTTCAGAGGTATTTTGTCTACATACAAAGAATTATGTTCATTAGTAATTGATCTAAATAGACCTAAATTACTATATAAATTTATACAATTAGCAAACTATAACAAGAAAAAGGTTTGTGTAGTAGTATTTTTACAATAAAAAACATGCTTTTATTAATTATATTATATTTTTATTTTTCTTGTCAGGAATCTAAATCGAAGTTAGAAATCGATGATCAACTTAATGAACAATTGCCTTTTATAATACCGAGGCTCTATCGATATCAATATGATCCAACACCGATTGTACAAACTTCAATGAGTGCTATTTGGAGTTATCTTGTATTAGATACACGTGCCACGGTAAGTTTTTTACTTTATTTTTTAGGATTTCATTAATTTATTTGTTTTATTATGACTTATGTTTTCTGTCTGACAACAATTTTTGAAGCATAAAAACATTAACATTTTGGTTTTAGGTAGACAAGTATCACAAAGAAATTTATGTGGATTTAGTAAAAAACATAACCTGTCCTGATTGGCGGGTTCGAATTTCTGTTTGTCAGGCTATACCTTCATTTTTGCAATATACAGGAGATAAAATATTCACAGTAAATTATTAGTTTTATATTGTATTGTATTACAATAATATATATAAATAGCATTTAATCAATTTGCAATTTATAGAATTGTTTGGATTTAACTATTGAAGCATGGAAACAACTCATAAGAGTGATGGATGATATTCATGAAGGCACTAGAACAGCTGCCACGTCTACTGCTAAAACATTATCTAAAGTATAAAAAAATTAATTCATGTATATTGTTTAATCCTTATTTTATTCTACAAATGTGATGTTAATGTTTAGCTTTGTGTGACTGAATGCACCACTAATACCATACTGCTACGATTACTCTTGCCAATAATTTTAGACAGAGGTCTGTATCATACTGAGTCGAGCATACGGACAGTGAGGTTAATACAGTTTATTAAATATTTGTATCATTATTGTTGCATATTATGATGTACATTTAATTTTAGTATGGATATGATATCTCAGTTAATTGTCAACTGTGGTGACAAATTAAAAGGAGACTTGGCAAAATTAATAATAGCACTTTTGAGAGGTGCAGATAAAGTAGAAACACCTACTATGAGTATTTTAAGTGTTATATCTGGAGCTAATCCCAACGCTCAAGAATTTATAGACTCTCAACGTGCTGCTTCAGCAAGAACGCTGAGTTCAAGTGATGTATTATCAAAGGTAATTAAAAATATATATTAACGGTGAATTTGAATAAAAAATCTTATGTTACTTTATTTTAACTTTCAGAGCTTACTTTATATTGATGAGACAGTATTGCAAGATTTAATACCACTCTTACAAGATCTTCTCACCACTAATATTGGACTACCTACTAAAGTTGCTACATCACATTTTATTAGTTTGCTGATCACCCAAAAGCAACTACAAGTCAACTCAAAATTTTTAGGTAAAGAGCATCACTGCATATAATATATTAAACATAAATATTGTATATTTGCCTATACCTATGTTTTTTTTTTTAGAAAAAATTTTAAAATCCTTAATGAAAGGTATTACTGATCGCAACACTACAATTAGAAAAAGCTATGCTTCTACTATAGCTATAATCACTACAGTGGCAAAAGAAACTACTGTAAACAAGTTAATTCAATCATTGAAAGATGTGTACATTGAAAATGAAGGTAAATATGCCAAGTAGTTAATAATTACTTATGAAAATGTGTTTAACAAATAATTTATAGATGAAAGTATCAGACAAACTGTTGGCTATGCATTAAAAGGTATAAGTCAATGTGAGAAACCAGATTTATACTTGGCCAATATTATACCAATAGTATTTTTTGCTATCCACAAAATAGAAACAAGTAATTTATATGAACATAATTCTCAAGCATCATTTGTTAACACAATTTTTTTAACTTTAAGATAATGGAGTAGTTTTAAATTCTTCAAGCCATGATATATGGAAAGAACTTTGGGAAGACAACGTGCACAATACTGAAGGTGTGCTATTGCGTTATTTAGATTCTGTTTATGAATTTTTGGGTATTGCAATCAAGTCACCATCGTGGTCAATGAAAGCACAAGTGAGATTATTAAAAAATAATTTTAACTATTTATATTCTATACATAATTATTATGATATTATGTTGTAGGCAGCTAGATCAATTGGTGATGCAGCCAATAAACTTGGTCGACAATTAAATGAAGAACACCGTAATAAGTTTATAGAAACAATTAAAACTGGTTTGACTGGCCGAACGTGGGATGGTAAAGAATTCTTACTAGAAGCCTTATTGCAATTAAACTTAAGTTCAAGGTAAAATTTGGATAAAAGTATTAACCATATTTACAACATTTTACTAACCATTTTTTTTTTTTTTTATTGGTATATTTTCAGTGATTTAGCAGAAACACGTAAAAATGAAGAAATTGTGGAATTGGTTTTCAATGAATGTAAAAAAGAAAATGTCAACTATAGAATGGTGGCTTTAAAAACTCTTGGCGAGCTATTAGAAAAATTAAAAATTGATCGATTTGCACAAACTTACCAATTAGTCATGCACATAATACAAAAAGTATGATTTTTTTTCACCGTCGTCTGCCATGATAAGAATAATGATTTATAATATACATTTTGTATTCATAGAGTACTGAAGATTCAGATGTCGATGATCAAGCACAACATTTAAAATTAAAAGAATCTTTATTCTCATTGGTTGGAAAAGCATGGCCTCAAACATTGGCAACTCAAGGTACCAAATAAATCTAAAAAAATATATTATAATTATCATAGATTGAAGTAGTAACTAAATAGTCATTGACTCATTTTTACGTAGTTGAATTTGGAGAAACAGTTGCTGCTCAATGTGCTGATCATTTAAAAAATAATACTAGACCATTGCAATTAGCCATTATGAACACGCTCTTGAAAGTAATAGAAAGATTGGCTTTTGCTCAGCTGTATGCTAGTCACAGGCAACAGCTTAAATACATACTTAGCCATGTAAAAAGAAATTTACACTTTTCTTTTGGTAAGCTTAAACATTAATTAATGATAAATTAAATTTAGTATAAATCATAATTATTAATTTTGATTGTTTTATCCATTCAAATATTTACTTTCAGGCGTGCCTAAAAATGTTAGTTTGAGAAAATTATCGTTAGAAGTATATATATTGGTGATAACAAATTTAACAGGTAAGATATAGTTTTGTATATTTTATAAATTTTAAATTAATCACTACTTATATAATATTATAATTAAGTCATATATTGTCCAATGCATCATTTTTATTTAAAATAATAGAAAATAATTAAGATATTTAATTTATTTATTTACAATCAAAATGTTAGCTGATAAAAATGTAAACTAAGATTATTTTTAGTTAAACATTGTAAACATTTGTTGTATAAATTACAAAACAATTCTTTGTGTTAACGAATTATTTGTATTGCAGTTTAACAATACAATTTTTTTATCGTCTTTCAAATTCTATAAATGTACAGTTTAGTGTGTATAAATAACCAACATATTTTTAAAAGTTAATTTAAATTATTGTTCCAAGTTTGATTTTATATATTTATAACAATAATGGTATTATTATTATACTGTACCAAATAATTTTTAAGTATAATATGTATACACAAAATGATTAGTATTTAATACCTTTACTTAATATTTCGCTTTTTGTTACATAGTAATTCCCAATAGTGAAAGTACTTAGTAAATCATCTTGTATGTATATTATACAATATAAAATTTTCTTTTGTAATAAATTTAAGTCATAAGTGCTTTTAGTGGAATCAGTACGATGAACATTGTAATAGATGATGTTAATAACCTAATCAATATTTAGGAAGTGATGACATCATATAGTTTTTTTGATTTAATAAATTATTGTTAATTGTTTAGATCTGAGAGCTGTAGAAGAATTGGAATCATTTATGAGCCTATACAACGAGTTTTCAATGAACTTTATCTCAGATGAATCGCCGGAAGTTAAACTTCTCTTACAGAAAATTAACGAATCAATGGGATAGTGGTACTGATTCATAAATTATAAAAATCAACATTTTTATCATCATTGACCTTTGAATTTTTTTTATACGTACATATTAACATAATAATACTATTTTAATGCTACTGATTGTTCTTTCTTTTCTGTGAATACATGAAATTTATCTGATTGGACTTTTGAACTCAAGTCTAAAATAATATGTAAAATGTTATAGATAACCTATTACTGCCATATTAGGTATGAATTGTGTAACGGCCATCAGTCACTTTCAGTTTAACAAAAACGATGGATCGGTTCAGTGACTTGTTACGGTTTTTTCTTTTAATTTTGATCTTTGGGATAAATAGTTCTACACAATTAGTTTACCCTTATGGACCAACAGCCGGTGATACTCAGTTACGAGTGGGATATGAGGTTGCTAGCCCGGGAATTCCAATAAGTGTGCCAGTGAAGTTCTATAATGAGACTTACGACACAATTTTCGTAAGTTAAAAAAATATTGAAGTTGTTATATTTATTGTCTCAGAGCCAATGATAATCAGTAAAACATACACAATCATTACACATATTAGCTACTTTTGAGGTAATTGTTTTTATTCTTATGATGACTTCAGAGCAGTGTTGAACTCCGTAATTATCAAGAACAAAATTGAATGTCAGCTTATGTTTTAGTAAGATTGAAATGATTAAAGTCCATAGCCATTCAACAAGTGATGACTCAAATTAAAATAAATTAAACATTAATATTCTATTGCATAAAAAACCATATCAATACTTAGATGTACAAAATCACATTTTGCATGGTTAAAAAATACCAGTAACAGTAACTGTGATCTATAATATAAATTAAAACGGTCACATTTTTAATTTATACTTTTAACCAAGGAGGTTTTTGTTTTAATTTTAAATAACTCTATTTTCTCATATTTAATGCTCAAGGTAGGTACATAAAAATGTTATTATCTACATAAGTCATAAATGATAATAACAAAACATAAAAATTATTTAAATTTTTAAATTAATCATTATTATTGGTAGGTATAATATTAAATTGTATCCGTTCAGTAATGTTTAAGGCTTTGGTGAACTTTAAGACACGTGTACTCACAAAATACTTTGATTTGGTACAACTGAATAATAGAGAAATGTTTATAGATAGGTAATAAGTTTTTAGAAGCATAATTGCATAAATTATGTGGAATTGAATTGTTACAGCAAACTTGTTTAGTTGTATCCTCCAATACTTTAGAGGACGTCGTACCCGAATTATGCGCATTTTCAAATATTGATATTTTTTGTAGGTACTCATTACTCATTAAGTCATAACTAAATTACAAATTAAAATATCGTAAAAAACCAACTTGAGAACACATAATATTCTTACATTTTAGTTTAATAATAGGTAAATTCACTTTAATATTTAAACTAACAACACAAAATTGGAACTACTGGGCGTACATTTTGATATAGGTACCTATCTAGGTATTATGCGTTAGCAAGACGGAGACAACACATGCTACGGATATGACGTCCTTTTAATAAACCAAAGAAAAGGTCAAACAGTCAGACATGAAAGATTACGTTTTTGGGAGTTAATCTGAGTACATTTTTATGTTCCTACCTATGTTGCAGTGAAATCTTAAACTTGAAATCAATAATCATTTATTATATTTGCTAAACATTTTTCATCTATACGTAATAATATCAAATATGATAAATGTAATATTTATAATATGTTGTAAATGTATATACGTTACGTAGGTTCTACTTATCATTGATTGTATTGAATAGTATTTATAAATTATATTCGGTCATAGTACCTCCGCTGAGAGGCTTATGCAGTCTGTCTAATCTGCCTTTTTATTTGTATTTATTATATCTTATATTATTTGCCAATTTGCCATCAATTGTTCTTATTGTTCTTTTTTTATGTAACAGTTCGAATAAAAACTTATGAACCAAAAAAAAAAAATTATAACCAAATATCAATGGTACCTACGTAGTTCATCAATATCACAATAATTTATATCAATCACTTATTTTGTACGTAGGACATTTCACGTACACTATTTCACATTTATATTATGTGTCTTATTACTCTTATTTAAAGAGAGTACGTGGTGACATATTATGCTGGGGGCGTCAAAATATTGATTGAACTATTATTAGGTATAATATATATGATATAGTTAATGTAGTATAAATATTTAATATTGTATAGGAACATATTATTAAATACTTATTTGATATGAATTAATTTGATACTAGTTTGTATGATTCACTTGATATAATTATTACTCAGGGCCTCATTTCCAGATTTTGGGGCCGGGGACTTTCATTTTCCATTCTCTTTAGGTTTTAGGAAAATCAAATTAAATCCAAATAATACAAATAATAAATACTTTTGTGGTATATAATATTACGATCAATGGTAATACCAGTGGCATACCACAAATACCGATACGTTTGAACCCCAATAAATGATCACTTATAGGTTTTTTTTATTATTATTATTTTAATCAATACAAATGTACAAAATTACATTTGTCTATTTAAAAATATAATGAATCAAAATAAGGCCTATCATAAATGGAATCCAGGTGACTATAGTCACCGAGGTAGGTACTCGTCTAAATCAGGGTCTGTGATTACTCCAGTAGGTAGTCCAGTAAACATAAATTATTAATAACTCTTATTTTTAATGTAAGTACATATTTGAGAAAAACACTTACTGAGTTGAGTACTTCGTTCATCCGGTATTCTATTAACTTTTTTTGTACTGTTAATTAATAAAAATAAACGATAAACAAAAATTCAATCTTTTTAGAAAATTAAAATAAATAAAACCAAACGAAAACTAAAAAGGATTATCAACATTCGCAAAACACGGTCTTCGCACTCATCAGATTCTGTTTATTCTGCAATAATATTATTAAATCAAATAATATAGACTAGACTGTTCAGTTGATTGTACACGTGTAGTACTATTTAATGACATTGATTGCATTATTGCAAGTACCTACCTACTAGCCATTTATAGACTTTAGTCAATAGGACGTTGGTATGAGTATTAATTATAATTTATGAATAATATAGTGCTGGATAATATGGATTAAATTGTCCTGAATATTTTAAATCTCGAATTACGATACAGTTTATATTTTTTAGTAATATCGCAGGGCCCTCCGCCCACAAAAAAAGTATGGGTGAACGTCAAACGGACCGAGGCGGACACTGGGCCTGTAAAATCATATTAATCTACAATAATAGAAGGTCCCACTTAAGAAGAGCAATAATTATTAGGATCTTAATTTTTTATCAAACACAGTTGTGGCCAGTGGAAAGTGATAAACTATTAAATTGATGTGTCTTACCTATTTATAGATTAGTTCTGTACCCATAGAATACATTTTTAAAAATGTTATTTTAAAATAATACCAGTTTTTGATGTTTGTTATAGTAATTAAGGCTGTTATAATTTATAAATAACCTAATTTTGTAAATTAGGTTTCATAGTTTGCATACAATTCGCTAATTCAATTTTAGGGTTCTGGTTCCGGTTCTGAATTTTAAAGTTTTAAATAAAAGTAATAATAGTTCATCGAAGCACTTAAGTACTTCTTGAAGACTGTAAATTGAGTGCAGGCAACGGAGGTAGCAGTTAATAATCATTGCAAAACCGGATTTTTATTTATTTAAAAATATGGATTCCACTGTTTCGGTTTCGGGTATTTGAAACTATGTTTTTGATTTCTATTCCGGTTCCCAATATCGCAAGGGTTTTTGGTTCCCGGAACGGAGTCACTTCGATTCAGTTCTTGTACTCGCTACTGTTAATGATATTGTATTGCATGATTTTTACTCATACCTACAAATCTATACCGACCTAATCGTGTAACGTCTCCGGGCGCACAGGTGAACAGCAATGGCCTGGTGTCGTTCAACAACGAGATGCCGACGTTCTTCAACGTGCCGTTCCCGCTCGACTACCCGGCGCTGGCCGCATTCTACGCCAACGTGGACCTGCGTGGCAGCGGACAGGTGTACTACCGGGAGGACCGGGAGCCGCGGACGCTGGCCCACGCCGACAGCCTGGTGTCCAGGTTTTACCCGCGGTACCAGGGCCGGTTCGCCGCCTCGTCAGTGTTCGTGGCCACGTGGCACCGGGTGGGGTATTACAAGAAGAACGCCGACCGGACCAACACGTTCCAGGTGGCCGTGGCCACGGACGGCCACGAGACGTTCGTGCAATTCGCGTACCCGTCGCCCGTCCAGTGGGTGCAGTCGTTCGGCGGGCTGGCCGACGAGACTGGTCTGCCGGACGCCAAGGCCCAGGCCGGGTTCAGCGCCGCCGACGGGCGCATACACATGCTCCGCGGATCGGGCAGCGATCAAATACACAACTTGGACAGGTAAGTCCTTCGATGTACCTAATAAGTAATAACGCATATTATAGGTGTCAGCGTATAGTTTTGCCTGTATTCGTGCGCGGGCCAAGAAGTTGCAGATTAATGACTATATAAATATAGATTTAAGTGCCAAAGATGCATAAAAACATGTAAATACATAGTTATTTCCTCCAATATGAATAAATAATCTTCTAATAATATGAAATATAGTAAAAATGGGTATTCGGTACCTATCTATATAAAAGTATAATGTTAATATGAGTCTATAATTTATTACCTGCAAGTATACCTACCTATATCTATAATAATAAGCCACATGATTATATGCTACCCACTGCACTTACTATATAAATCGAAATCCAATATAAATAGCAATTAATATTAACTATGGGTAATCAACTAAAATTATGCACATTATAACTTAAACTGATTGTACTCTCATAAAAAATGAGTTAATTAAAATTGAAGAAATTGCACTTTTATAATAATATTATGTTCTATAATCCTACCTATGTGCTTTTATTTCATATTTTTATCCTATTGTATTATACATTTACGATTTACAACGATATTATGCAATACTTTTTGGGTAAAACGAGACAAAAATGTACGGTTCGCTGATTTTCAATATTATTTTAAGAAGACCACGTTTTTAATGTTACAACCTGAAGAAGAATAGTTTTCTGAAAAATTGAAATGCTCATACAAGTTTATTATTGTTAATTTTACGTATGTATCGAATGTCAAACGATTAACGAATAGGTAGTATTCTTTAAATAATAATTATTGAGCGCTTAAAATTCAGATAATAGTTGAAATAGTGTGGTGCAGGACTGAAAATTTGGAATGGCCCCTCACCACTTCACGACGCTCATCTGTAAACTCTAAATAAAAACATATTCGTCTTAATGACTAGTCCTTCCTACCTTGCCAACTCACTTCATTTTTAATACAATATGTATATTATTTTAAGTAGATACCTTTCATAATAGTTCTAGGTGCCTACATACCTAATACAATAATATTACCTGTGGCATCATTAGGTATACGTTTTAAACAATACGTCATTATTATGTATAAATAGTAAGATTGTTAGTCGTTACTCTAACGACTTTACTCATTAAACTCATTTTTGTATTTCCAAATGCATCTTTCGTAGAACCCAGTGAACCGCATGAGTTCTACATACTCATGTAATATCACGCGTGCCTACCTAGGTATATTATAATATTATACTATATAAACAACTACCTATGTGTGTAAATGTATAATATCAATAATTATAAATGTAAAAACTAAAATTGTTATATATCTTACAGTTGAGGACAATTGTTGTGATATTATATATATATGTTATAAAAAGTATAAAAAGTAGAGCTAGGTACTACAAACACAATCTAAAAATATCAATTTTACATGTTTGTATTCCAATAAAAATAAAATTGAAATGACTACCTATTATTATTTACAATGGTTTCCGAAATAAGTCTAATATTTCAGTATAATATACTGTATAGTGTATTTCAGTGCTATATATACTCAAATGTAGGTACTTATGCATTGTAATAATATTTTAGTAAATGTTAAAAGAAAGTTGATAATCTGGGGAGGAATATTTTTAAAATGGTATAACCCAAGGGAAGTTTAATACAAATTAATAAACCAACTTGTAATAACTCATTTTTTAATTCCAACTTTTTTATTGTTAACTTTTAAAATGACGCCACACCCGCATGTGTTGTCTCCGTCTTACAAACATACAATATAACGTAAATAGAACCACTCGTGCTGTAGTCCAAGCAAGCAACCAATTTTTCACACCATAAACAAGAGAACATTTACTGTGCTCCATTGTTTTTATTTTTTCGATATCATAAATACAAGAAAAAATTCTTACTGTCTAAAAATTCATTATTTCAAACTTTTATAACTACTCTTGTATTTGTGATACCGAAAAAATAAATTTGGTTGCTTAGCTTGGACTACAGCAAAAACGACAGCTAAATTGGAGGTGAAAATTGGAAAATCCCTCACCCTCTCAAAACTTTTTTCTAAGGTACCTATAGTAAAATATTTAACAATAAGGAACAATGAATATAAATTGAATTGATTCAAAATTCACATTAAACACAATATGGAAGATGTGTTTCTTTTTAAAGATTTCAGATAAATTAGTTGTATGTATGCGCAGTGAACTAAACCCATAGATGCCTTAGCGATAATGATTTCTCATAACTTAATAACGATAACATTTTAAACACAGACACACAGTGGAACTGTGAAAATATAGCCCATTTAGTCGAGCCTACATATATGTATAATATTATTATACATTATACATATTATATAATATATATACTATAATATAGTGTTGTCTCTATAAATAATTAGATAAGCTATAATAAAGTATAATCAGAGTCGTCAGTCATCGACCGACGACCATTTCGACCATATAAATATTACTATTTACTTTGCTATAAATAAACGAAAATTATATTGGTATTCAGTATATTGACAAAACTGTCAAAATTCAATAGCTCGAGAGATCATAATATGACAAAATATTACATTATAGTGCATACTACATAATGTAAGCAACACAAAAAATAAAGCTAATGGGGGGATCCGACCCCCACGTCCCCCCCTTGTCTACGCCACTGGCTTGAGTGGTTCTATTTCGTGCAACACAGTTTTTGCTATGCTGTATGTTTGTAAGACGGAGACAACACATGCGGGTGTATCGTCCTCTTAACTTAACTGGACGTATTCTTAAAATCTTAACGTTGACTTAACTTAACGAATTCCAGTCTCCAAGACTGAATCAAACTACCAAAACCCACCTTTGGTTTTCAGTAAATAGTATCTACCGTCTTAAAATTATTGCTATTATTCCTTGCATAGTGAGTAATCGACTTATAGATTCTCTCCAACTGTCTATATTAACTTACTTAACAACGTTTGACTATACTGTAACATTTTTTTCTGCTATCGTAACGTTAACGATTCTAAATATTTAGCGGAGTGTTTGACTTCAATAAAAAATTAATATTTATTGAAAACTGAAATCGCGTTAGGTAACTAATAAATACGAAGCCAAAACTTATTAAAAATATTAAATCATAAATTAAAAGAATGTTATCATTATTTCATCACAATATATCGCATTAGTTACGTATACTTAATTGTAGTATAGTCTATAACCGTACCTAGCTACAATACAAATATACAATACGATTGACGCTCGTGTTTAAAATTAAATTAAATATTATACAAGAAGTTTATTTATGCAGCCAACGTGAAAACGTCTAAAACTAACAATAGTCAACACTTGATAAATAAATATCTATGGTTCACAAAGTTCACTTCTGCTTTATTATAGGTATTTTGAGTTTATATTTCAGTTTATGTTAAAGGTTACGTCTTACGTTGATATTTTACCATTATTATAGAAGTATATTATGGGTATATATATGTTTTAGAACCAACTCGTATACTAGGTAAAAATCAAATAGGCATCAGTGTCAGATTGTACATGTTTTATTTATTGTCAATTTCAATTGGGTATAACCTAAAGAATTTTTATGATAAAAAGCAGAATGTAAATTACAAAAAATATTTGAGACATCTATATAGATTATAGGCAGTAGCTAAGGCCTAAGGGCTAAGAGAGAAAGTGTGTAGTAAATAGTTATTTTCTCATGCGAATTACTTACCTGTTTGAATGTTACTATTTATTTAAAAAAATTGAAACCCTTCTTAAATTAAAATTAGTATTCCGATGATGTGCATTCGTTTGAATAGAGATGCACTTTGTGTTTGATGCATTTAACTCCCGCAACTGGCGTAGCTGAGTCCCTGCATCCATAATAGAGGTATTAGGAATAATATCATATAACTATAATATAAACCACCATCCGCTAGGGTTTTCATCAATTTTCTTTTCAAAATAATTATTATTCACTCATTTGTAGATATACCTATAATCATATTTACTTATACGTATAGGTACATAATATATAAATCACATATAACAATATTGTATAAGGTTATATTGATTGATCTTGTTTATGCATAGATGGAGTAATACAGACGCGCCGGGTGTTTGGCTATATCGCGTGGGCAACATCGGATCGAGTGAAAACGTGGAACCACCCGAATTTCCCGGGAGCGTCCGACCAGGTATCTTATTGACTTTTTATGTAGCTATACGTATCGTTTTGGTAAAACTACTAAACTACACTTGGATACACTACGGAAATTCATAAATTATTTCCCCATTTTATTTTATGTCTTGTCAACATATTAAAATGTTGTTGTTTCAATCGGACGGTTTAAAGGAAAAAATTGAAAATTTCTTTCCAATGTGATATTATATAATATTATAATATTTATTACACAATATTATAATATTTATAACGTAATATAAAAATAGTAATGCTCGCCAACCTTGGAAAATGTGAAAATGTAAAAATGTTTCGGGAGTGTTTGGAAATAGGTATTTTTTTAGAGCTGACAATACCAACCGGCATGGACTAAACCATGTATAACTGACTCTCGTCCACTGACGGCGTTGCTATCTGTTGATTATTATTGTATCACTATGTTTCAGACGAAGGTTTAACTTGCGCAGTAGCCGGAGCTTTATGTCATAACCAAGCGTCTTGCGTGGATTACGAACAAGGGGACATGTGTTGCATATGCAAGCAGGGGTACTTCGGTAATGGAGTGACTTGTATCAAAGAAAGTAAGTCGACACTTGGTTTATAACAAACTACTATTATACCTAGATAATTTAGATATAATATACTATGAAGTTATCTAATGTTTATCATATAGATGAAATAGCCGTATATATATATATACATTTCCAAAACATTAAAATATGTCCATGAACGAATTTCAACTTTCGTAAAATAATCCAAAATATTATATGTGTACAATTATAACGTTTTTTGTTTCACTTATCACCTACTTGAATAATTATTATAGAATTCATAAAATACCTATAAAAACTTATTTCGATTTCATATGCTCCGACGAACCACCTCGGGAATCTATACATACGTTGTCTGTGCCAGAGAACTGGCTCAACCAAAAGTCATAATATTTTAGATTACCTATACCCGCCTATATTACTATGTAAATAATAATTTGTAACACTTACCCGCAATACAATAATTATTTTATAAAAATATTATTATCTATAACATAATGTTATTTTTTTGTAACTCGTCCAGACGTACCAGTCCGCGTCAGTGGAAAAGTCAGCATAGACGTCAACGGGATCGCCATGCCCGAGTCGGACTTGCAGGCTTACGTGGCGACGATGGACGGTCGAGTGTACATGGCTATCTCAGATGTGCCCAGCAACCTGGGTTTCGAGTTGCAATACCTGACCGTGTTCCCGTCGGTAGTCGCTTGGCTTTTCTCTTTACACTCGGAAAACGCGTACAACGGATACCAGTTGACAGGTCGGTGCATACTATATGTTATCACTTATCATGATATTTACTTACATTATTATTTGGATACGGGATAAGATAAAAAAAAGTGGATTTCGACAAATTATGCTGTACTTAATACTAGGTAGGTACGGTGTAATATATTTTGTAACTTTGAAGATTTCTTTTCAATATAAAGATTAAAAACTTAATGAAAATCAAACCGAATCAGAAGCATTGTTTTTATTGGTTAATAATATTTGTTTACCATTTGAACCATAATATTATGTGTAAAATACGCACATGATTTTAATAGATATTATAATACAATATTATGTCAGATAGGTACCTACCAGCAACGATTTTAACAATTGTTGGCACATGTCAAGAATGACTAATGAAATTAACGGTTTTAGGTGGGAAATTGATATTATTTACCAGTTATTTTTTAGGAATGCCTAATAAATATGATTATTGGCTAGAGGGCTAGACAATAGATGTTCTTTAGCCAATTTGGCAATGTTATAAATGATAATAAAGAGTCAAATTTGTTTATACAAAGTAAATATAAACAGCTAAATTAAATAGCTATAATCATTAATATTTATTTTCAAATGGTAAGCTACTATGGATTTTTTAGTCACATATTTAAATATTTTGTTACTTTAGCACTACTGCGAACTGGTTCATTTATGAGTCTAAGATATTTTAATTTTGCAGTTACATAATATTATTTATTTTATATATTATATAATTATTGAAATCACTGTGGTCCAGACGGTCCAGTAATTCTATAGCTAAACCACTAATCCCGAAGAGTTTTCTCCTTGTATAGTATGGACCCGTGCTAAGACCTATTGAAGTTCAAAAATGCCGTTTGTTTGCATATTAATTATTAAGTTCAGTTTACGAGTGATGTTTCAAACACTAATTTTGAGTGCCTTACAAGAAATTATGAATAATACGCATTGTATTATCATTACATAAAATATCTAATATTATGTCACGTAATAAATTACCATTATTCATCACGCATTTGTGCATACGTCAATGTACAGGAGGAGTAGTGAACTACACTTCCGAAGTGACTTTTCCGGGAACCGAACACAGGATAACCATTCATCAGCGGTTTTTCGGGCTCAATTCTTTCGATCAGTTGATAATGGACGCCACCGTACAGGGAACAACGCCTCAAGTCCCGTTACCGCATACCAGATTCACATTGCCCAACGACAACCATCAGCAGTATACGATTGCGAACGGTGAGTGAGATAATATTATTTTAATATTGTACCTATTATATAGTCTGTGGTGCTCTGTATATAGATTTGTAGAATTACGTATGCCTCGTGATTTGCAGCGATCGCATAATCGATCGATATCATGTGTGACAAACTGCGATGTGTATAATGTAGGTAGGGGAGTATAATAATATGATGTTTTACGAGTTATTATATTTTATAGTAGGGAATTTTGAAGAAAATGTATTATTTAAATCAACTGGGTAACAAATAAAACTATATATATAAATATGCAAATAAAAATGTACACATATATTATAATAAAAAAATACTTAAAAAATAATGAAAAAATAAAATTGTTTTATTTTAATCCGCCGACTTGAATTCATCAAATGGATTTGTAAGACGATAATCGGATAGTTGACTGAAAAAAATTGCAGAATGCATCGAAATACCAGATCTTATATAATTGAGCTATCCACTGTTTGAATATTTATGATCTTATATTTATATTTTAATGTTCTCGTATTAAAATTTGAATAGGTCGAATGCACTCGTATTACACGTACAGATACAAACAAGAAGGGTCGGATTTCGAACAGCAAGTGACCGTGGCCCAAAAATTTGAATTCTCTCAGCCATGTAACAAGGCCGCCAAAAGTTTTACGTCATTCATGTTGCAGAACTCCAAAGCATTCGCCTATTACGAAGAAAAAGTAAAAATTTTAAGACTGGTCAGCACAAACAACATATTTCTGCCGTTCGGTAAGTGTAGAAATACTTAGTAAATACTGAAGTTTTCAACTTCAAATAACTTGTGGAATGGCAGTATTTGTATGGTTACATAATTAGCAAAAATATGTTTAGAAATAAGGTAAAATAATAAACTAAAAAAACAAATATTTAGTTGAAGTTTTTTTATCATACACCACAAAAACAAGAATAGCTTTAATAAAGTGTTAGCTTACCCACCTTTCTCCTGCCAAGAGCAGATATCTTTTGAAAATGCCAATATGATGAAAGTGTACTAACAAAAAAATTCTCCAACTATTAATCATAGGCAAAACCAACTTTCGGCGCCTTCGCTCTAGGGGATAGAGTTTCGGGCCGGCCATTGCACTTTTCGACCAAAGTTTCTTTGTATATAGATGCCTTTTAAGCCACTGTTATAATAGTTATAGGGGGGAGGGTAACGTCACGACAAAAGGCACCAATGAATAACATTTTTTTTATTTTTTGTTCTACGTGGCATACACAAAATACCAATACGGATACACAGAAGACACGCAGGACCCTTGCAGCGACGGACACGTGAAATGTGTTGCGAACAGCACGTGCGTCAGGGAAGGTAGTACTTTCAGATGCGAATGCAATCTAGGGTATGTACATTACAATATTTACTGATTCATATCTATTTATTATTGCCAACTAAATTTGTAACGACGATGCACCGAAACTCGTTTTAAAAATAATGAAATATATTGTGTTATGTTATTATTATGTAGGTGCAAATAACGCAGCAGCCGCAGAATATAATTATGTTATCTGTTACAATTAATTATACTCTATTGTACCATGAATTATAATAATCCGACTTATTCGAAACAAATTATGTAGTGTAAGACCATATATGGGTACTAACACTGTTTTTAAAAACTGTGATTTCTTAAATCGTATTTTTTCAACTCTGCAGCAGACTCTGACACAAAATAATACTGGCTATTTTTAATCTTCACGCTTATATTTATAATATTATATCGCACAGATTCCATTCGTTGTACGGGGCCGAGTCCGGGTGTGTGGATATCAACGAGTGTCAAGACAGGATCGATCGATGTGATCCGAACGCCATGTGCGTTAACGAAGTGGGGACCTATAGCTGTCAGTGTAGACCAGGTTTTGAGGGAAACGGTTATTACTGCGGAGCTGTTACCGTAGCTCCGAACACGGGTAAATACCAATGTACATTTTTTTTCAAGAATACGTAAGTCGTAACACTGGCATTTGTTGACACCATCTTACAAGTGCGTAACGTACCAAATTTAAGCACGGCAGATCACGTTTAGCATGGTTAGTTTAAAATTTACGGCGAACCGTTGAAACTTGATGATAACAACATTTTATGCTGTGGGTTTATTAAGATGGTTCGAATTTTTGACAAGTTTAGCATTGAAAATGCTTATAACTCCCTAAAAATTGAATTATCATAAAAATCCCACATGCAAACACAGATAATGTTCTTACCATCGAGGTTGATAATAGGCCTGTTCACTCTAATTTTTAAACTATAAGGACCAAGCTACAAGTGATCTGCTAAGCGTAAATTTGGTAGGTTTCGCAGTAGTAAGACGGGGACAACTAATTTCAGTACAACGTCCTCTTAAGGTTATTCTGTACCGACCGTGTTTAATGTAAAAATTAAATTGATTATTCATTAAAAATTCACAATAAAGTGAAAATATTAAGTTTGTGGTGTATGCAATACACTTAGTGTATACATGTATTGATTCTTTAAGACTTATTTGTTAAATTGATACATACTTTGAGTTCCTAACAGCAATCAATCTTCTGTTGTAGTCGTTTTAGTTTGAGTAAAAAAAAAATTGATAATAAAATGTGTCACGAAAAATTAATAATAATAGTACTTGAAGTATGATATGATATTTCATTATCACACTAAAATAAAGAACAAAAATTAAGCTATTTAATCATACTGATTACAGATAAATTAAACGATTTTATCAACAATACATTTCAATTCAAACAAAATTATAAATAACTCTCTGAACAATCAGATACCGTGAGTGGCCAGTGGGAAATTATTTGCCACCTGGAACGTTTTATTTCAATAACTCATTACTAGAGTGCGCTAGGGTAAAAATACCCATATAACAATAAACACAGAAAATGATTTACATTCGTTTGATATAAGTGGGAAATTATTTTCCTACGATCACAAGCTACAGGATTTTTTTTTCTAAGGTGGGAAATAATTTCCCTCTACCCTATAAAGGGTTAAGTAATCTGTACTGTAATGATCAAAATTTGGAAAAAACCCATATTTTCCCAAAACTTCGGAAAATATGGATAAATTTGAGAATATTAAAATAATGCATTTCCCAAAAAAACCGAAACTTTAGGAAAATTAGAAAAAAACTGAATGTAAGGAAAAATTGTATTTACCCTTATAAGTTATAACAATCAAAGTACAAAAAAAGACCCAGTTGAAAAAAATAGATAAGAAACCTGTCATTATCATTTCACATTTGCCAATACAGCACGTACCATACATACCCATCATTGTATTATAATTATTAATACGGATATTTCAATATTTGTTCTAAAAATAACGTTACTTATCAAATATTTATGTGGGAGAGTGTATTATTAGAAACCTCTAATGTATTATGATTATCAACTATCATTATTTATTGTATTGTTTTCACTTTACATTACTTTTTCAATTTTTCCGGATAATCACAGTTTTTTCCGCCAAAACCAATTTTTAAGTGAAACCAAATTTTCCAAAAAGAAAACCGTTTTTTTTTTTGAAATTGTAATCCCAAGTCTGTAGTATTAAGAAAAGGATTTGCGTTCGTGCACGCCCAGTCACATATCAATAATAGTATCCATATCCGTGTTAGAGTAAATTGACCTTGCTTACTGCAGTTAAGACCATTATTTAATCTATCTGTGTTCGTACATTGGCTTTTAAATTTATTTCGTTTGCTTTTTGCAAGCTATATGTTTATGAGTAGGTATGTAAAATATTACAATTTAAAAATACTCATATCTCGCTAGAAAAAAGCCAATGTGCAAAACAACAAAATAAACAGATAGTGTTGATAACTGAAGTCTGATAGAAGGTCAATCACTCTATTACTAAATAGTTAAATCAACAGAAGGCTGGTCCCGCTGAATGCAAACGTGAGAGAAAAAAAATAATGCTCTGAAATCCTCTTTAAAATGTTGTTGTTTTTTTTTGTCCAAAAGTACCTATCAATCTTTTACTTGTCGTATTGACTACGTTTTTGGGGTTTTTTGTTTATCTAGTTATACTATACAATTTTTGAAAATAAATTTGAAATCCTTATGAGTTTAATAGAAAAAAATTTTCTTAAAATTATCTACAGTTATTTTTAGTTCAATTCAATTAAAATAAAAGAAAATTAACCGCATGAAGAATTCAAATATGTTTTCTTAAATATTGTACCTATCTCATTACTAAGGTTGTCAGTACAACTGACATAAGATGGGTATATTTTGATAAAAAACACAGCTAATCTCCTGGAAGTGGATAATGCATGTTAACATCGAAGTTTACGCCTACATTTTTTTTCAGAACAATCATCAAGAGCTTATAACATAGAAAACAGTGTTTGTGATGTGCCTGATAATATCAGTACTTGTTCCTGTATACAAGGGTAAATTAATCGTTTATTTATCAGGAATTTTATAAAGACATTATACCAGTGGCGGCGTGATAGGGTGTTTCATGAGGCAATTGCCTCACGACCAATTAGGTGGTGGTACTCCCGGGAACGGATATTAAAAACCACATATGGAATATGGTCAACTAATACTATTAGTATTATTAGTATTACTTTAGCCTTACATTTACTGGAAATACACTATTATCTATAGTGCATGTTGTATAGTGTACAATAACGCAGTATATTGGTGCCAGTGTGGTAACACGTAACACTATCATAGATAATATTGTATCATTATTTTATTTATCTATTAACAATATTTCCCCTTCGTTGGTTGGGCTGTATGCAACACTGGTGGATCGTGGATGCACGTAATATTGAAGTAATGACGAATTTACGGTTATGTTACTTTTAACTTTAAAATTGTATTAAGTATTGCTATTTGTTGTTCATATTCTGGAGACAATAAATGCATGGGTAGCGACGTAGCGTTCTCTTAAGAATAAATCCCATAAAGCTCTCTTATGTTTTTTATTTTTAATTTTTGTAGCAATTTATGATTTGTCATAATATTTATTACAATAATACCCAATAAAATAATAAAAAATTAATTAAAATTTTTTCAGTGGTAGGTAAAACTGATAAAGTCACGGTTGAGATTAACTACAAGCGAAGACCGATTAGAAAGTTTGATGATTTTAAACTGTAAAAGAGATATAAACATAGATTATAATTTGGCCATTGATACTTTTGCAGCAACATCAAATTTATTGTTTAAATAAAGATTTATTGTTATTTATATATTATAAGTAATTTTATTATATTTCTGATATTAACATGACAAAGTATATTACTGTTGTAGAATTGTGAATTTGGGGGTGTGTGAAAAAATTTAGGTGGTGGTGGTCGAGCATTTATACTTGCCTCATAAATTAAAATAGTTCACGCCGCCACTGCATTATACCTACAAATTATTGAAGTATAACGTTTTTAGAAACGAGTCGTAATTAATAATGATGTAACTCAAATTATTTTTATAAACAACTTTTCTTTAACTCGGCACAATATGTATGGGTAGATACAATGAACGGTGAAACTTCCATTTAACAACATTTTCTGTTTAACCGCGTAACATTTTAAAGTAACAAACTCAATAAGAACCAAATTTATTTAATTCTATTTAACTAAATTCGCTGTTATACGATTTTGCTGATGTTGCCCACGAGACTTTGTTCTGATTAGGAAGTTTGAAAGTTTCACATTTTTTTTTTGTGCTGAGCTTATTACTCACGATGACGTTTTCTTGGATTAAAATAAAAAGGCCATAATATTTTTTATTTTATTTATTTTTACTATAATATAGTTACGAAATACGTTTGCTGTCGAGCGACTCCACCGATTTCGAGTGCGTAGATGTCAACGAATGCAACATACCGGAAGTCTGTCACAGGGACGGTCAATGCACGAATTATCCGGGCACCTACGCGTGTGCTTGCAACGCTGGTTTCATAGGCGATGGACTTAGGTGTTTACCGCTGTGTAAGTTCATATGGAGTGATCCGTTTAACAATTTTTTTTAAGTGATTGGTGTGTTTTTGAAAAAAAAATCAAAGGTATTTTAAACTATTTTTTATATAGGGCACAGCGCAGTGCCTAAAATTGTTTTCTCCGTCTTACACACGCGTATATAGTTAAAGCTTCTCACCGTGTATTTCACAAAAAAATATCTAGGTACCTAACAGCCGCAGTTTAAAAAATGTAAATAGCCATTCTGATGTATGACGAAAAGTTAATCTTGTTGTAAATATTTGATATTTTAAAATTAAACTGTACCTAATAGGTGGCCTTATGTACCTATAAGTAAAAAACTTCATCAAAAACATAAAATTTGACCTAGCTAACTAGTATAGGTACCTAGCTACTACCACAGATCTTATACTACTAGACAAGAACTGTAGTGCATATAACAGCATGCGGGCTGCATAACAATATTTCACCGTGATGCATAATGCAGCTGTCTCTTTAATACAAAGTTTTTTATTGTTTGCTTTTAGGAGGGCGCCACACTCGCTGTGTTGCAAAAACTGTTTTTGCACGAAATAGGACCACTCAAGCTGTACTTCAAGCTAAGCAACCAAATTTTCTTACTATTAAGAGAAGATAATTTATCAGTGCAAAGTATTTTTTATTTTTTCGATATCACAAATACAAAAAATGTTATTCAAGTTTGAAATAATGAATTTTTAAACAACAAGAATTCTTCTTGTATTTGTGATATCGAAAAAATAAAGACGATGTTGCACAGTAAATGTTCTCTAAGCTTGGACTACAGCTTGAGTGGTTCTATTTCGCACAAAACAATTTTTGCTCTGTTGTACGTTTGTAAGACGGAGACAACACATCGCGGTTGTGGTGTTCTCTTAACGAAAAAACACAATAATCTATATATTATCTTAAGCCGGTTCGAATCGAATCGTCTACTTGGCGAATAATCGTCAGCCGAGATATTATGTTACGAGTCGTGTAGGTGTTTAATCGTCAAGCGTGTAGATTATTTTTTACCCACCGAGTCACTCGTCGTTTCCTGTCGGTTGTCGATAAATGCACGATGATCGGCAAGTGTACGAGTCGCGTAGAAGCGAAATAATTATCAAGCCAAATTACTCTACGAACTTACGGGATTACGATGTTCGCCAAGTTCACGAGTCGTGTGGGGCTGCCTTTACCCTGTTACCCCGTACTACCGTGCGTACGAGTAGTCGAGTAGGTAACCAAAAAGCTCCCTCTGTGTTGTTACGCTTTCCGTACACTCATCGTTCGTCTATAGTGGTATAAGGACTTTTGCCTATTACCTACAGGCTACAACAACGATTGTATTATTATATTTTTCTATATTAATGGCATAATTTACCGAAACATTGTTTATAGACCCCAGATGCCGGTTGGAAGGACATAGATACATTGGTCAGGGTTGTCCCGTGCGGAAGACTTGTACCCAAGATTTGTGCCAGTGTCCGTCATCGTACATTGACGTCGGAGAATATTGTGCGCCCTACGATGATATTACGACCGTAGAACCGGAGAGCACCATAACAGAATCGTCGAGTTAGTCCAACAATTGATTTTGTTAATGAGTTGCACTATTAATGTTAGAAATGTTTGCAGTTTCGTGTGCCGAGATTAACACGTGCCATGCTCATGCCCAGTGTAACTTTGTTAACTCTCAACAACGACACAGGTGTCAATGCAATCCAGGTTATGAAGGAGACGGATACGAGTGTTCGCTTATTGGTAAGAAAACTAAGAATCAATAGTTTTGTTAATTAAAAAAAGTACATATTATACTGAATTACTGAGTATGACTGAGGACAGAAATACAGAATATTAATTATTAATATTCTTTGGTCATTTTTGTTCTAACTACCTAGATAGGGAAAATTCTATAGTTTTTCATATCCATCCAATCCTTATATTATTTTTAAATAGGGAGGTACTAACCCATATCTACTTTTCATTTATAGTACCTAAAAAGCAAACCTTAGCTTCTCGAATCAGTTTCTCAATGAAAGACTTTCAAACCACAATCATCTTATAAATTTTCTTTCTTTTTATATTTTAATACACAATATTTTATGTTGTCAAAACAAATATTCTAGTATTTCTTGCAAATTACAAACCAGATAAGTAGGTATTTAAAAATTTAATAACATTGGTATACATTGAATATGTTTATTTTATTATTACACATAATGTATGTTATTTATGTTACTGCTAAAAATTATATAGAGCAATCGTGTTCAAAGTCAAACATCTGTGATATGCATGCTAGCTGTCAGATGATGGAGGGTCATTCAATATGTGTATGCAACAGTGGATATGAAGGAGACGGTGTAATATGTACACCGACTGGAGAATGTGTCGCGGACTCAAATTGCGGCCCAAACGAGACGTGTATGTATAACGAAACCAGCTTCATTTATAGCTGTAAGTGTTTGGAAGGTTATCAAAAGCTTGAAAACAAATGCCAAAGATCACGTAAGTCACAGCTATACATTTTACTTACAATAAACCACAATAATATAAGATTATTAATCAATCTTAGGCTGCTCATACGAATGTCACAGATATGCTAATTGTGTACAAGGAGAAAGAAATAATTATGCATGTCGTTGTAATAACGGATACAGAGGTAATGGTGTTACACAATGTGATCGGATCATTGAAACTGGGTGCACAGAGAACTCGTGCCCAGCAAATACTGAATGTAACAACATTGGAAATACTTTTAAATGTTCTTGTGCCCAGGTGATTATTAAAATAGGCTAAATTATGGTTCAACAAATTATTTAATATTTACATAATAAAAGTTAACAATTTTCAATTTATATATTTTTTAAGGGATATACAGAAAACTGGAATGGTTTGGAGTTATCATGTTCAGAGACATGTATTGTAAACACCAGCATTTGCCATCCATCAGCACAGTGTACAGTTGATACGTCAGGACATTACATTTGTCAATGTAGACAAGGATACATAGGAAATGGTTATTACTGTAAAGGTAAGACAAATATTTGAAAATTACATATAAACATAATAATTAACATTTATTTAAATTATAATAGTTTGTTTATAAAACATCAATTTATAGCGTCTATAAAACAAAATCATAAATATTTACATAGAATTTATGTATCAAAAAAATTTTTTTTGTAGCCAAGTGGTTAAACAATCACTTCTGCTCAGACTTATTTTACCCTTATACTTAAGTATCATTTGTTTTAAGAAAATAAAAAAACAACAAAAGACGACATTTACTTACTTGTAAATCAAGGGATGGCAACATTGCATATTCCAACTGTTCCAAACAAAACAAGAGGAGATTATCCAATTCATCTGCAATTTGATAAAATAGCCATTGGTAAGTATTTACAATTTGTATTTTGTTTATAAATTATTTTCATTGGTTACATATTATAATAGTAATAGTAGAACATTTTTAAGAGTCATTAAATAATGATTTCAAAAATGTTTAATACTTTAATTCATATATATTCACATAATTCATATGTCACTTTTAACAGGAACAGTACATGAGGTCAGCTAGTAATTATGTTTTATTTCTAGGTTTGGCAGTTGATTGTTTGGAAGAGCAGTTGTATTGGAGTTATATAGCAGATCGGACAATTAAGTCTGCTAAACTGAATGGTTCAAATGTGCGAGAATTTATTGCTACTGAAGCAACATCAACCGAAGGATTAACCATAGACTGGATTAACAGAAAGATTTATTGGACTGATTCTGGTTTGAAACGTATAATGGCAGCAGATTTGTCTAATGGAACCCATGTCACAATAATAGCAAACTCTTCACTGAGTAATCCTCGAGGAATTGCAGTTCATCCAAACAGAAGGTAGTATTATTATTTATATAAAACTATTAAAACTGAAATAATTTAATTAACTAGTTGATATTATAAATTGTTATGGCTAGAAAATTATTTTGGTCAGATTGGAATAGAAATAGCCCTAAAATTGAATGGTCTGATTTGGATGGCGGTCAAAGAGAAATTTTTGTTCAAGGACCTAATGTCAAATTACCAAACTCTATAGCTATAGATTGGTATACAGATGAAATCTGTTGGGCTGATGCAGGTTTAAAAAGCATAGGTAACTTATACTAATATATTTCACAAAAATAAGAGTCTTCCTATTTCAATTGTTAATAATTGATACTAAGTAATTCATTATTCTTATCTAATATTATAAGCTTATACATTTTTTAAATGTATAAACTTAGATTTAAAGTAATTTACACAAATAATTAAATTTGTATGCTTTTTTATTTTTATATTCTAGAATGTATTGGAATAGATAGTCGATTACAACGGACTGCTGTTGCTAATTGCAGTTATCCTTTTGGACTGACTATTACTAGGGACAATTTTTATTGGACTGATTGGATAACGTATGTGTGCCTGTATTTTATAAATTTGATAAAATATAAAACGATTATACATTTATATTTTAGAGGGAAAATCGAATTCACTGGAAGAAATGAAAAAGCGAAGAGAGAAAGTCTGCCTGTACCTCTACATGGTAATGGAAAATTGTACGGAATTGCAGCAGTTACCGGAAAATGTCCCTAATATTTAAGACTGAATAAAAGTAACTCGTAAACATTTGTTTAAATTTTAAAATCCAATGAAAGCAATGAATCAAACATGGTAGCAGAACTACAATTCAGTCTAATGTGTTTTGTTATAATAATTAATGTATAATAGTAAAAAAAAATAAATATAATATACCATGTTTAGATTGGTTTATACAGTAGAGTAGTAACATATTTTTTACGATATCTGTGTGTTGCACTCAACACCATAACTCCATCCTTAATTGAAAGAGCATACAAATGGTTGAGCATCACATGGTTTGGTTCTGGAAGAAGTGTTGGTTCACACTAGATACACAAAATTTATTTGAAAAAAAGAAAAAAATAATTATTTTGTTTGAATAAAAATAATTACCGAAACTGCAGTGTCTTTGTTCAGTATAACTTGCAGAAGATGTGGTGGTAAAATTGGTGGTCCAGAAACTTTCTGCCAAGGAACTGACGAAGGAATATCTTGAGAAAAACCACCTGAATATAAAAAAATAATATAAATAGATTTATCTAAAATAACCAAATCTTAATTTTCATTTTTTTCAATTTAAAACTAAAGATAAACTATCTTCATAAAAAAGTGACTGAAAAAATGAAGTTTTTGACGTTTGTTGAAATTTAATCCATTAATCTTTCATGCAGATATAAATAAGACTTAATGTTTATTAAAATTCATAAATACTGTTTTAAGTGATATTAAATAAAAATATACTTAAACTTTATTATTAGAATAAAAAAAAATCAGTAGTTTTCTCAAACAGTCAAATATTTATAAATCTGATTTTTGTGTAATTCTTATTTAAGTGTTAGATTTTTGCAGATAATCCCACAAAATAAAGTACAGTTGTACAAATAATTAAAAATTCTCAATCAATTTATACAATTATATAAACATAAATTGGTTGCAACTTCAATACTTGAGGCTAGTTTAAAATTGATATAAATCTACTGCTCATTTAATAATATTTACAATGAATTTTCTATTTAATTTTTAATGTATCAACAGGTAATGTAGATATTTAGAAGCTATACATTAAAAAAAAAAACGCACTGTCTGTTTATAAAATAAATATGTTGATTACTTTTTTCAATGCCATTTTCGTCAATTGAATCAACATCTAACGCTTGAAAAACTTCGAAGTCTGTTTTCCTCACTACTACTTTGTTATTTGTTATACCTGGATCACCTTCAATCATGCTCTATAAATAAAAATCATACTTTAATTTGATAGATTTTTAAAAAATACTACAAATATTAACTTACAACTTTATTATCACATTGCCAGTTGCCATCAACACAAAATTTATAATGGTGTTCACCTTCTGGCAAGTCAATTATAGTTACAAAATCATTGTGGCTGAAATCATAAACAAAATTGAGAGTATTATTTATATATATTTAAAAATAACTAAATAAATCACGTCATGTAGAAAGTATTTCATTTATAAGATAGGTTGAATATATATTATAAATTATTATTAAAATATGTATTTGCTCTAAAACAGCAGTTCTAAGCACTATTATTACTTCTACAATGAAAGTTTTAATCCCATTTAGCCAAACAACAAGGTTAACTAAAGAAAAATCTATTGTCACTTTGAATATTTCACACTTTTTGAGATGTTGGGATTCAAACTTGAATTGTTCTCTTAATTTTGATGTGTTTGAGGGATTAATTAGTTAAATAATCTATTCCTATTCAAAAGCCAACAACAGTTAAAAGTTGTATTAATTTAAAATAATATTACCAATTCAAATATGTGTCATTACATTTTGTATAGTCAAAATAATAATTTTTTGCTATTCCTAGCACATAAAAGTAAAGACACATTATTTAATCAAATAATTATCAATTATATTTTATATGCAATCAGAGGTTTTTGCAAAACTTTAGATTAGAAATCTTTAAAGAATTAAAATTGTTCTTATGTACCTATACAATAAAGATACTTTGACGCATCACTCTTTGGATAAAATATTGGTGTAGGGAGAAGATTTTTATCATTTAAATGTAATGTAATTCAATTACATACAATATTATAGATAATTAAAACAGTGATATAAAATAGAATTTATATAAATATTTTTTTTTCGCAACAAATTGAAATGTTGAAAAATTGTTAAACGCAAAGTACCAATTAGAGCAAATGTCTGATCTATTAAGTATACATAGCATGAATGATTTGAACATTTACATACATTTTAATACCTAAAATAGAGCCAATATATTTACAAAATAAAGCACACATCAATAAATCATTGTAAAACTAAAATTAGCGTAAAATATAAAATTGTGGATATTTTAATAAGTAACAACTTTAAAGTTTGGTATAAGTAATATGTAATTAAATTTACATTTTTCTCAAGTAGTATAATAGTTTATGAGGATACTTTGGAATTTCTTCCAATTTTAAATGTTTGACTTCTGCTTTTTTATGATCTGTGACACCTAATTTAAAATTTAAAAAAAAATACACCTGTTAAGTTTTAACAATTTTCCAATAGTAACGATTATCATTTTTAATGCATTTACAAACTGTCTACTAACTACTGAGTAAATGTACTTCTGTATAATAATAATCATGGTTGAAATAGTATAGCACTTAAAATGGCATTAAAATAAATAACCTTAAATATCACTAAATATGCAATAAAAACAACAAAATATGCAAAAACAGTAGGTATGATAGTAACTAGAAGTAATTTTTAAAGTTTATAGTGAATAATGTTAATAGTTGATACAATATATATCCTAGCACATTGAGTCTCAACTGCATAGACGCATTGCATTTGTTCAAATTTAATTTAAATAGATCTCTGTTAACTAAAAAATGTTATGAAGAATCTATAACCAAGGTATATGAATGCAGCCAGTGCTCCCTATACCCCTTCCCCCGTAAATACGAGAATATATCAAGATTCATTTTCAAATTTCAATTGATCTTAATAGAAGATGATGAAGTCACACCCACATGAAGTGTTGACTCTATGCTACAAATCCTAATATAATTTGGTGTTGTTTTTTGTTAGCAATAATGTAGGTTATTTGCTAATTTCTAGGCTGTAGGTTTTTGTAAGATGGAGACAACACAATATGTAAGACATCCTTCCTCCTGTGTATAAGGAGGCAATGTTTTGGAAATTATGAATACTGTTTGTTACATTATGAACCTAATATACTTGTGAAAAATACAGTGGTTATATAGCAACAATAGTTATTGAGTAAGTTAAGTTCACTTATCCATTGTTTAAATTGTTCTACTCAAGCAATACTTTCCTTCCTAATGTTCAATGGTAACTACCTATAGTGAATGAAACTGAATACAAACTTAAGATTAAATGTATTATATAAAAATTTAGTTATACTAAATCATATAAAAATACCTTTGAACCATTGGTATAGGTTTCCATTCAGAGAATGTGCCACTAATGAACACTTGTTTGCCACCACCTTCCCATCTAAACACGGTCGGTAGCATCTTGTTCTCAGTGTCACTTTCTGATGCTGAATGCGGGATGCCGTCAGTGAACTCATCGTCCTTATGGATCAAGAACAATAAAATCAATTAAACAATCGACAGATAAAGAAAAATAGTAATATTCAAAGTACACAACATAATTGCCTATTAGACAACCGTTGTTGACATACATTTGGCTTAGATGAGCTCTGCGCATTAGTCTCATGTAACGCATTGGAATCCGAAGTTTTATCAAACACAAACGCTTGACTTTGTACCTCTTTTGTCGGCGAGGACGGAACGATCAGACCTGCCGACTTATGGCGCTGATTGCCACTAGTGTTACCCATAACCGTACACAATAGGCACTGACGTCTACTGTCAAACGGAATGGATATTATAATTTATTAAAGGTTGTAGTTACTAGTTGGACTCTTGAGCCTTTGGAATGCGATTGTAGTCTGACGTGACGGTTTGGATTTTACTCGGAATTACTGTTTTATTAATTGTACGTTTTAATTTGTTGTTTGCCCATAATATTGTTATCGTCCCGTCCGTCGAATATGATAAATGATAATTAACAATAATTATTACAACACCGCGCGATTGAACAAACGGTAGAAAATGAACACGAAAACATAAACATTTATAAAATTTAAGTTAATAAACTGTAAGAAATAAACACAGGAGAAATGTTCTCGTCTTATCAAGACCACTGCACCGTCGTCCTAAGGTCGTTTACGATGATTAGTGATTAAGTACGTTGCACCGTTTTATTCTGCGTAACAACCTTAGATCATAGACGTCGTATATTATTATTGTACGAGTTAGTCACGTTTCCGGGAAAATGTCTCCTCCGGGCTACGAATCGATCAGACAGACGGCAGTCGTCAGTGGTGGAAAATACTGCAAATAATTTGCATTTATATCTATTTAAATCATTTACAGTATTCGGCGGTGGTCAGCTGCAACTGGAGCATATTATACTCGTTTACAATATAAATTTTAACATCATTTTTCTGGTACTATCGTCGCCCGCTGGTGGTCGTGCAGCGGCCAGTGACCAAAGATTATGGTAATTGTCTTCGAACGACTGATAACTGATAAGACGAAGGCACGCAGCTGTTCATAATATTTTTATTTATCAGAAACATATTTCTACAGAAACGAAGAATTAATACTATTCTATTCTGTGATATAACCAATGTATTATTATACATTATACATTGTACATTATTATTATTATTATTATACCGGTATTCACTATTATGTATTACTGTCCATACTAGCATAGTGGGTACCAATCAATGGTACCATAATAATTAATAATTAATGTTAATTAAAAATCAAGATTAGATCTGACTAAAGAAGTACCTACCTATTCATTTTTCAACAAAAATGATTTCTGAACTCTTTAGTATTTCTACTAATAATACTAATAATACTTGTGAGATGTAGGTAAGTATTTATTATAAATGTACGATTCATTTTGAAAGAAAGAAAAAAAATATAAAATTATTTTATTGATTTAATCTTAATAAGAAGACTGAGTTCAATTTGATAATCATAAATCAACAGACAACAATTATATAAGATTATTACTACTATAAATTGTAGACGAATATAATACATTTATTAAAACTTAATGATCGTAATTTAATTGTACTCCATAATACCAATTTATTTAAATTTATCCGCGGAGCACCTTATTATAACAATAATTTATATTATTGTAATTATGTGGGCCTTGAAATCGTTTGAATCTATATAATAAGAATTGTTTTGATCAAAACTATAGCTAAACAGTTTCAATTTTTAAACAATGTTATAAACAAATATGAATTGTAATTCGAAATTGGTAAACAATGATCCCAATAGTTTATAACCAGTATGAGTTAAATAATTATTTATTGCATTTTAGGAATAATAACGATAAAATGAAACGTTCTATACGGAAGTCGCTTCCGTGACCAACAATTGCCGACCATTGTTCAGCAAGTAGGTAGTTCAACTGGTTTTTCAAGACAAACCTACATCATTGCTGCGGTAACGAGAAAAAATAATTATTAAAATTGATTTTGTGTATTGAAATATTGATATACTAAAAAAAAATGTAGAATAGGTCACTCTTTTATCATCGAGAACTTATTATCTTAAAAAGTCTAAATGTTTTTGAAAAAAAAATTTTACATGATTTCTAGTCGTTAAAATCTACATTTTTATGATGCAATATTTTTTATGCCTAGTATTTAATTTAAATTTTTTTAAATTTTTTGAACGACAACTTACAGTTCGCATTTCATATTCCAAATAAAAATATTTTTCCAAGTATTTCGATACATACAAATCGAATTTAAGATGAGTAGGTACCTATTTTATGAATTATAACTTATAAGAATTTAATTTTTGGAAAAACGGAATGGAGTGGTACGCGGTTAGTGTTTATAACTTATAACTCCTAAACTATTCATCCTAAAATTGATTTGTATGTATCGCAATACTCAAAAAAAATTCTGTTTTCGAGATAAAAATTAAAACTATGTTGTAATTCTAAATAGTAAAAATTATAAGTATAAAAAATAATTATATAAATAATTTTTTCATACTTTTTGAATAATGAATGTTTTACGTTAAAGAATTACGTTGTAAACATATAATGACAATTTTTACAAATATATAGAACACCTACCTACGTTTAATTAAATACAAATAGGTACAAAAATGTCATTATTTATTTATTTATTCATAAAAATATTCAAATGTAAAGAACCCTTTTTCTAATATTTTGACCTATATAGATATATATTTGAATTAATAAGAAGTTGGTAATGTAAAACAAATCATTATGATTTATGACATAATACATAAATGGATGATACTAGTTTTTAAGTAATTAAAACTGTATTATTTAAATAATGCATGATTTCTTTAATATAATATAATAATATTATGAAAAAATGTTTCAGATTTTTTAACTTCAGCATCTTTTCTAATGGCGAAGTGAATTTACTATTTAGTTTGTACTTTTGAGAGGTAAAATTTGAAAATGCTCAGTGGTTTTTAAAAGAAAGAAAAGAAGTTTTTTTACAAAACCCGCAGTTTTTGACAATATTCTATTTAGTTTTTTTTGTGTAACTAAATAACTAATATCCACTGATTCCTTTAAATTTTCATTGTTTATACCTATATAGTATATACTACCATTTTCTACACACCATTAAATGATCAAATCTATAATTTTTTTTTTTCTACAAATGTCCATAAAATATTTTTCGGTCGAAACGAATTTAAACCTAAAACAATGAGATTCCTTCGTAATAGTTATTTTAATAACAATGAAGGGTGAAGAAATATTAAAGATCCATAAGCACGATTGTTTTTTACAAGTATTTAAAGTTGACATTCTGACAATTTATTATAAAATTGAAAATATGCAAATTGTTTTGCTGTTAAAAATGCATAAAAAGTTCAATTTTTATAGCTAAGAATTGAACTTTTAGAATAAGAATTCTCTTAAATAGTTTATACTGTAACCAAAAAATCTAAAATTGTTATTAACATAGTTTTATTATTATAGTCATATTACTTTCAAATTTGAACACAACAAGATATATTAAAGAAGAATAATGTTTTTAGATATTTTATTGTAATTTAAAAATATTATTCGCGGAGATTTACAACTTTTAAAATTTACTACCTATTATATTCTATATTATATAGATATAATGCAATTGTTAAATGCATATCTTTTCAGACAAAATTAATTTTACCTAACGTAGTACCATTGATTATAAATAATTATAAATAATCAATGGTAGTACATTGCCTAATAGTAAAATATATTATTTTAGCCACACTAGTATCATAAAATATACTTATAGTATTATTATTTATTATAGGCTGACAGAGCATCTTCGCTTAGAATCATTTTCGTATTCATTGAATTAAAATTCATCCCATAATTTACAGTGACTTTCTTAGACACTTAATGTTCAGCAGATCGAAACCATTTTCTTAATGATAGAAACAAAGAATTTAAATCTGATTTTTAGAAAACTTTTAACTGTAAAAACATGGGTTAAAACATTTATGTAAGCAAGTGATTTATTATTTTATATTTTAAAATTGGTTTGTTGTTTTAATTTGAAAACTAATAACTATTTAAACTAACTTTTTAAAAACAATATCCATAATCTAACAAGTATCTATTTTAATGTTCAAACATTTTTTGTGCATGTTTTTTACAGCCGGATAAACTTTACTCAACAAAAATAATATTTAAAAAGTAAACTACACGACTTTAATAAATGATTTTACAATCAGTTTTTCAAAAAAACTAACTTGCAAATAAATGAAAGTAAACAAAATCGTATAACATGACGTGTAAAGATGTGACGGCGCAGTAGGCTGCCTAAATAACACGGAGGTCTATAAAGTGGCGGTAAATAAAAGACTCACGAAAACTATGCGGATTTGCGGTGACATACATCACCCATGTAATAATTAAAACAATAATATTATTATGTATGAAAACTCTGCAAACAATTTTTTAATGGCAACGAAAGACCATTGAAATAGTACGTCAGTACTGACACTTCTCATCATTATTTCCATCATGCGTGGTGTTCACTGCAGGTATAAATCATGAGAGTTACAATTGTTGCTTGTTCAAGGCTTATTTTTTACAATTGGTAGCCCTGAAAAGAGCCTTTTTAAGTGTCATCAACTACCGCAATATAGGGTTTAAGGACAGTATCGTGCGATTACTTAGAGCTGGTGTATTTTGTGACGGCCTTTGTGCCTTCGCTGACGGCGTGCTTAGCCAATTCACCGGGCAGCAAGAGTCGGACTGCGGTTTGGATTTCCCGGCTGGTAATGGTCGAACGCTTGTTGTAATGAGCCAGACGACTGGATTCGGCAGCGATGCGCTCGAAAAGGTCGTTGACGAAGCTGTTCATGATGCTCATGGCCTTTGAGGAGACGCCAGTGTCGGGGTGAACTTGCTTCAACACTTTGTAGATGTAAATGCCGTACGACTCTTTCCTCTTGGGCTTGCGCTTCTTTCCGGCCTTGACGATGTTCTTCTGAGCCTTGCCCGACGATTTTTTCATCGCCTTTCCTGTCGACTTTCCTCCTGGAGCCATTGCGTTAAGCGTGTTCGTATGTATTGCTGAACTGTGTTGTACGGTACGATTCGAACGAATGACACTATTTCAGTAGTGCTCTCCTATATATGCTATTTTTACGGTTTAAATGCGTGTGCTCGTTGGTCAGTATCACCCCTTTATGGTCACGTAGTTACTCCCCTCTGGGAGACAGACATTTGATCCGGGCCACCCTAAATTTTGCTCGAGTAAAAAGACCTTTTGCTATACAATTTTACATAGCGTACACGTCATGTTACGTCATCAAAATATTTCGTTTACGTCTCATACATTAAAATTTAAGGGTGATTTCACTATATATAAACCCTGGTTAAAGCTGACCAGAGTATAATACGAGTCGTGTCGTTCTAGTTGACTACTACTACTACTATTACTACTACTACTTTAACGTCAATTATCATACTCCCAACATGAGTGGACGTGGTAAAGCAGGAAAATCGAAAGGAGGCAAGTCCAAGACCAGGTCGTCCCGTGCCGGACTCCAGTTCCCGGTCGGTCGTATCCATCGTCTGTTGAGAAAAGGAAACTACGCCGAACGTGTCGGAGCCGGAGCACCAGTGTACCTGGCCGCGGTCATGGAATACTTGGCAGCCGAAGTTTTGGAGTTGGCAGGTAACGCCGCCCGTGACAACAAGAAGTCTCGTATCATCCCCAGACATTTGCAATTGGCAATCAGAAACGACGAGGAGCTGAACAAATTGTTGTCCGGAGTAACCATCGCTCAAGGTGGTGTTTTGCCCAACATTCAAGCTGTCCTTTTACCCAAGAAAACCGAGAAAAAAGCTTAATCGTATAGCGGGTGAAATATTATTTATATTATTTAAAACGGTCCTTTTTAGGACCATCAAATACCTATTACTACAATCTATTATACACCTATAATTTCAATGTCATTTCAACATAATATAATACACAAGTATAATAATTTATTTAAACGATAATATCTTACCTCCAAATGATCGAAAACAAATATTATTTGGAACTTATTTAATTATTGCATTTTTTGACAATTGCAAGTTTGTAGATACTGTTTAATTTATCAGACGATCACATAAATTAAATATTAATTTTTGTTATACTTAAGTTCACAATACGCTATTATTATATATTATAATGTATTTAGTATAATATAGTAATTGCTATCAAATTGACGAACAAATAAATCATTTGACAAGAACAATATCTGTTTGAAGACTATCATTGAATGAAGCATTATTTTATACAATGAAAATAATGTCACGTAATTTGAAATTGAAGTAAATTACTTTAACTATCGATATCTTTGTTACTACATTTAAATATTATTATTCAACCCTACGGTAACTGTTAACTGGTTGTTATTGTTATACTTATACTAATCAAGTACTCTGCAATTATAATAAATATTTTGTTTTTTTCCTTATCGCCAATTATTATAAACACTATCTACCTAATACAAAATACGTAAGTGAGTTGAAAATATAATGTATCACTGCTAATATGATTGATAATAATTTTTTAGTAACAATATTTGGTATTTAACAATTAATATTGATATGATAATTTTATTTATTTAAATTTATTATTTATAACATTAAAAAGTATTAAAGTATATAAATTTCAACAAAATCTTGAATATTTGCAAATTATTTTGTAGTAACAATTTATCGTAAAATGTTTAATTTTATAATCAAGCATTCAAAATTTAAAACAATGTTACTAATTATGAGTAGTCATTAAGTAATAAGAAAAATGTATTATCAACTGTTTTTTCTTATAGATATTTTGAGATCAAATTTTTAAGAAATGAAGTAGGTCATAATTACAAAGAATAACAGTAATAGTTTTTACATAGTAATTTAAAAATATTATCCAAGGGTACTTGAATATCTCAGTGTATTATAGTATTTTATACACACTGTAATGATATTTTCATATGCAATGTTTTCGGAAAAAAAATTAACCAAACCATACTTTATTAATAATAGTAAAATAAATATTTTGGTAGGCGATAGCATCAATATTATAAAACAAATTCTTAGTTATTGTTATATTATGCTATGCTGACGGATCGTCTTAGCTTACAATTATTATTAATTTTATTAAATTTAACAAGTTACAGTAATCCATTCGCACTAATTGTGCAGGAGAACAATAACTCTTACTCACCCAGTATTTATTAGTTATTTGAATACTTTAGTACATTACTAAAAAAAAATATTTTCAACATTCTGTCTTCCCTTAAAATTACGTCTATTTCATTAACAATCCGACACATGGAATTGAAAATATTCATCATTTTATTAAGTAGGTATCTAACCTATCCCTGACAGCAATAAATACTTTCCAACATTTTTAAATAATGATGTTCCCAAAAAAAATTATTATATTATATTTACAATATAAACGTTTTCTAAAATATTTCAAAAGCAAATTGTTTTTTTGACTTTCAAAAATAGTATGATTCTGACAAAATATTTAACTATCCATATTAATTAACATATTTTTTAATGCATTTTTTATTAAAATGTTATACACTATGACTTTGAAGCATATTTTAAATAAGACCAGTGTTATATTAGAATCATTAGAATATCTATCAATAATATTTTTAATTATTTTACCTACAATGAATAGCTATATAAATGACGTAAAACGTTGCAACGTATAGGCCACGAAACGGTCGATGTTAAAATAATGTATATTTCGTTCAATTAAAATTGACATTTGCCAAAATCCTTCGATAATGTGTTATTATAATTATCGTTATAAAATAATAGGGCTAAGTACGATTAAGATTAGGTTTGTATGTAGTCTGTTTCTTAAAAAATATGTCAATGATACAATCGTCAGTGACGCCATACCGTAACAGAAACCTAAAATCGTCATTTTCGAAAATCCACTGTTCATCGGAAATTAAGTCTATTAGCAATCTATAAACGCTAAGGTCTTGTGAAACTCGTGTAAAATACGTCTAAAATGTTTTCGTCAATTTTCTACAAGTTTAAGTCATAAAAGAGCACTTAGAACACGGACTACGAAAATTCGGTTTTAAGCTCGGGAATAACGAGCAGTGGTCGTTTTATGTTACTGTATGGCAACAAAATAGTCATCAGTTATCGTTTACAATTTAGTTAGCTTTTCAAAAAGTCCAAAACCAGATCTGTAGAACTATTTGCCGTTGTAATATTGTTAAAAATGTTTGAACAACCACAGCTCGGGAGACGACACGAATCACATTGGTTTACTAGTCGGTACGGTGCACTGTATATATCTACACTTTTAACTCGTTCGGTATCATTAAAGTTGTAAGTTGAATATTAACTCTTGAAATATCATTCTCATCATGACAGACACCGTCGCATCAACTCCGGCTCCAGTAGCAGCGTCGCCGGCTGCGAAGAAGTCTCCGACCAAAAAAAAGGTGGCCGCTTCAAAAGCCAAGAAGACAGTTGCGTTACATCCGACCACGGCCGTGATGGTCACTTCGGCTATCAAGGAGCTTAAAGAAAAGAAAGGTTCGTCGTTGCCAGCCATCAAAAAGTACTTGGCCGCCAACTACAAAGTCGATCCCGCCAAATTGGCGCCATTCATCAGGAAGTTTTTGAAAGCCGCTGTCGCCAACGGTACTGTCGTCCAGACTAAGGGCACCGGAGCTTCGGGACACTTCAAGTTACCCGTCGCTGAGGTCAAACCGAAAAAGGCCGTGGTAGCCAAAAAGAAAAAGTCCATCGTCAAAAAAGTGAAAGTCGCCGGAACACCAAAGAAGAAGAAACTCGCGGCGTCAAAGAAACCCGCGACCGGTGAGCCAGCTGCCAAAAAAACCAAAAAGGTCGCTGCCACAAAACCCAAGGCAACTACACCAAAAAAGAAGACCCCAGCTAAAGCGAAAAAGCCGGCCGCCGCCAAACCCAAATCCAAAAAAACACCGATCAAGAAAACCGCTGCCCCCAAAAAGAAATAATATTCTTCACTCACATTCTCTCTTTAAAAAGGTCCTTTTCAGGACCACCAATTTTATTCAACATCAAGTCCTCTTACCTAGGGTTCTGGCATTATAGCGTCATAATGTTGTATCGTTGATTTACAACAATTTAATAATAAATCAATTAGTATTACAACGATTACTAGTGATTACTGCTGGAAGTAGGATACATATTCATATTATATTAAATGAAGTTAATCTTATGACTTATTACATTAGTTAAACTATAGTTTTATAATTTGTTTGTATTCCATACATATACCTTCAGTCGTTATTGTTTTGTATTATCTATTTGTAATTTTTTTTTCATTTATTCAGAATTAGTAAATACCGTACAATAAAATGTATGTATCGTGATTTTAAATGGTCTTACGTAGGTCATTTTTATTAAATCAAATATCGAATAGTGAAATCTACTACCACATAGAATTTTGAAAATCATATAATATTAAAATCATATTCATAAAGCTATTTTCAATTACATTTTCAAATTTATTACTTATAACTTTTGGTCTCTAAAAATGATAAGTAGGCATAATTATAAGTAACACCGGATTTTTATGTTTTTACATCTTTTTACTGAGAGTTTGCTGAAGCTCAAAATAGATAAGCTTTCTCGACGATTCATTTAATTATGAACTTATATTATACAAACATTTTTAGTGCATTAAAAATAATATTTCAAGGTTATAGAATATTTTGTGTAAAAAACATGTTTTAGGAATAAATTGCTGTATTGCGATTTAATTTTGAATATTTTATAAAAAAATCTAATGGTTTATAAAAAAATTTAAAAAAATGTTCATAAGAAAATAATAAATTTTAACATTGATAAAAAACTCAATTATGCTCTACATCTTTAATCTTATACTCAGGTGGAGCATGGTGGTAGTTCCCTCGTTGAATGCGTGTCTAATAATTATTGTTTGGTGTACTAACTACTAGGGCACTAGGTGTCAAGTTTTGGTCAGCGTGATTTTAAATAAAAATGCCAAAAACCCCCTAACCCTCTACTTATTATTTTTTTAATGTATAAGACTGAATTACTTAAATTTTAAATACATACTATATTCTGTTATTTAACTATCTATACAATACATTTTTTTTTTTAATTAATAAAAACATGTTATTATTATTGTTTTTTTAATTCATTAAACTGAATTTTAGGTATGTAACTATGTGCTACAGTCACACATCTAAAACATAATTAAACAATATAATTACACCAGTTGTATATCACAATACTATACATTAAATTTGACCATTTGAATAATGTTTTAAAAATTAAGATTAATTTAACTATCTTATGATTTTAATAAACTGCTTCTTCTATTTGTTTTTCAGCATTATAATATTTTAGCATATAAAAGATTATTTTGATGAAATTATAGAGCATATAGAAACATCTTCTTTTTAAGATTTTAAGCTCATTTAAATCTAGTCTCTAATTATAAGTAACCTATGACAGATATTAACTAAAAATCTATAATCCCTCCTCTTAGAGCAAATTCCTATAGACGCCACTTGTTTCAGTTGTCCGTGACGGAGTTACATTTTAAGATGCTATCCCAGAGTTAAAATATCTGATTACTGTTTCTAATCCAGCGCCAAAAAATTAATTTATTTTGATAATAGTTAATTAATTTAGGAGACTTTTTGTCGATATTAATACGGTAACATTATTGTATTAACACGGTTGGTGGTGTAGTACTATGGTATTTAGGTGGGTGGCATTTTTTCGAATTATGATAATGATGTTTTGTCGAATGGGCTTTTGTCGTTTTCCGTGGCTTTGTGTCGAGTGGTTATTTGTCGGGTGACATTTTGGTGTGTCACGGAAGTTGAACGGGCGGCGGGAGACTTGACATATTTTGACAGACTACAATAAGAGGGGAGCATGCACAAAGAATTAACCGCAAGTGGTAACCACATCCATTGACCGCTGTTCGGTGTTCAACCGCAGTAAGTTCAACTATAGAACAAAATATACACAGATATATAAAACGACTAGATAGACGACTTTATATACCGCGCTATACAAACCGGTGAAACTGGCTGCCAAATTATGTTAACTGGAAAATGTTTATGTTTGAAATGTTATGATAATAATGACAACAAAATATGAAATATTCCCTCCATTCTCGGAAACCGATGTCCCATTCCGTAAAACATTTTTCTAATTTCAATGGTAAAGCGAATTTCAATTGATATTTTTGAGTTTTTGATTTGTTGCTTGTTTCATTTGTTTGGTTTATATTTTATAATATGCATAATATATTAATATAATAAAAAAGTCATGGTGGTGTCATGCTCTGCGCATGGATGTGTGAACAGAAGACAAAAAAATAGTAAAATTCATTTTTTTAGGTAAATAGGTTTGCTGTGTGAAAAAAACATAACCCGTGACAGTTTTATATAATAGAAATGGTTTTTATTTTTAGTTTTCCTTTGGAGGATAATATCAGAAGTTTTGATGACCAATGTGGAAGTTTAATGGTATGACAAACGTTTTATTTCTTAAAGAATTTAAAAATAAAGGTAGAAAATCAGTTGGCTGTCGCTTCAGTAATGAAATTAAAGAATTTGCTATAACACTTAATTATGATTTGCCTAAACCACTTAAGTATTGCAGGTAATATAGCTTTAATTGCTTTATAGTTTTTTTTTTATATGGTTAGGTATATTAGTTATGATATTATAATTTATAGGTATATTATATTTTTTTAGGACTTCTATGAAACTATCTACTTGAAAATCTATTCGTAATTGGACTTCAAGTGTAAATGGAGAACCAGGCTTTTTATTTACTGCTCTTAAAAATTTAAATCCTGATGATAAACATTGTAGTCTTATATTTGATGCTATGTCTATAAAAAAACAAATATTATGGGATGAAAAATTACAGACATTTGTGGGAAACTGTGATTATGGAAACGAAATGGATATTGAAGATAATGATACTCCAGCCTCTAAAGTGTTAGTTTTTATGTTGGTTAGTATTAACGAAAGGTGGAAACTGCCAGTAGGTTATTTTCTACAAAATAAAATTACTGCAATTGCTCAAGCTGAACTTATAAAATCCTTTCTTATGATTCTGGTTTAAATGTCTGCAGTGTTACATGTGATGGTGCATACACTAATTTTTCTTCCTTAAAGATACTTGGTTGTGAATTTGGCTCAAGTCATGATGACATAAATTGTTGGTTTGAACACCCTATTAGTAAGACAAAAGTATTTTTTATTCCCGATGCCTGTCATATGTTAAAACTTGCTCGTAATACACTAGCGAATAACTTAGTGTTAGAATCTGAAAAAGGCTTCATTCGATGGGACCATATAAAAAAATTATTTAATGTTCAAAAATAAGTAGTTTTAAAACTTGGTAATAAATTAAGTAAATAAATAAATAAATTGCTTGGTTTAATAACAAGATGAAGTTAAAATATGCAGCACAAACCCATAGTTCATCTACAGCTGATTCTTTACAATACCTACAAAGTACACATTTTCCTAATTTTGAAAATGTTGAAGCCACAATAGAATATGGGGTTAGGAAAAAAAAGCAAGTGAAAAAAAAGCATAATATGGAAAAAAAGCAAAATGAAAAAAAAGCATATTATAGGAAAAAAAAACGAATACCAATTATTATTATTATAGGTATAAATTGTACCTAATAACAAAAATTACTACTAAAGTATTAATTTTATTATTATAACCTATGCTTAGGTACTAGTGAATTATTTTGATCAAACTTATATTTCGGGAATAAATAGACCAATTGGAATTTCACGGCTAGGTAAAAAAACTAAATTTCGAAATATTCACCCAATCTTCTCACCTGCTACGTGGAATGTACACGAAACAACTATTAAAAATGCAGAGCGTACTAATAATCAAACAGAAGGATTTAATCGTCGATTTTTAAACTCGTTAGCTATAATCATCCCTCTATTTGGACACTGATTAAAAAAATTAGATTAGAGTTAGATTCAGATAGCACTATCATGTTGATGCACTTAACATGTAATACATACACTTATGACTTATTATAATATTATAATTATATACATAATATATTTAATTAAATAATTATTTTTATTTGATTTTTTTTAACAAACTATTTGTAATAATTTATACTTATAATAATAATAATTGGTTTTCGCTTTTTTTTCCAATATGCTTTATTTCATTCGCTTTTTTTTCAATTTGCTTTTTTTCCATATGCTTTTTTTTCATTTTCTTTTTTTTCACTTACTTTTTTTTCCTAAACTCATAGAATATTGCCAAACAATAGACCGAATTTTTGATTTTCTCAACTCCAAAAGTAAATTTTCAAAAGGATTTAAATCCCCTATTTTCTCTAATAACATAATGAAACTTGAAGAAATGATAGTGCCATTAATTAAATATCTGTTCACTCTAAAGTTTAAAGATTCCCTATTGTATACTTCCAATAAATAAACTTTTATCTCAGGGTCAGTTTTATCATTATCCAAACAATTATTTTCACAACACACAAATTTTAATTATATATTAACGTACAAATTTTCTCAGGACCACCTAGAGTTACTTTTTGGACGCATTCAACAACGTTTCGGCTCAAATAATAACCCTAATGTTTTTCAATTAAAAACAGCAATCAAACAAATTTTAATGAAAAATTCAACTAAATGTCAGTCTAATTTTAATTGTAATACTTTTGATGATGAACCAATTGGTTCCTTATTTGAATATAAATGGAGTAAAAAAAGAAAGAAATTGATTATGATAAAGAAGTTGTTATAGATGAAATTGACGATATTGCTTTAAAAAAAGTGGAACTCCTTAATAGTTATGATAGCTCCCATAATATATATCAATTACAATATGCTAAACATAACATTTTATACTATATTGCTGGTTATATTGTGAAAAAAATTGATTTAGATTGTTTCAGCTGTACTGATTCCTTGTACAAAAACCTAATGAACATGATTATTGTAAATAAAATTATTATTCTACATTTGTTAACTTAAAAA